ACACAAACACAAACACGTCAAATGCGGCTCTTTTTTTCTAAGAATTCGCATGATTTTTCGCACTTTGTAATTCAGTCTGCAAATTTGGATACGCTGTAACGCAAGCCTTCCTTGCGCGATCTAAATGAAAATGATAATAAACCCAAAGCAATTCGACGCACCATCGACTGTAGTTCGAGCTATTTATTACCATATTCCAAGTTTCCATTTCAACTTTAAAAAGTTCTTATTTAAAATTATCCAATTTACAAAAATTGACTTTCATACAAAAGTTAAACGCATTTGAATGAAGGTAACAGAATCAAACGCGCTTCATCAAAAGTCGACATTACAACCTTAATAACGGAACTTGAAAATTTTTACAAAGCCAGCAAAAATAATAAATGTTAATTTCAGCAAGAATACAACTGTCTGGCGGTGCATTGACTCAGTATACGTTAAACAGCAGGCCCCAGTTGTTCGAAAGGCAGATAACGTTATCTACCGGATAAATCACTATCCAGTGGTTAGGTGTTAACAAAACAAACCACGCTATCCACTGGATTGGGATTTATGCAGTGGATTGCGTTATCCGCCATTCAAACCCAGGTCTGGTGCTTCCACTTGAATTTGTTTGCAACGAATGAGACTACAAATGCACATTTTTACCAGCTACTTACAGTGTGGCCTCTGTTACAGGGACAATTGGGTAATCAAATTAAACTCCTACTGAAAACTGAAGCAGAATAGTAGATTTCAGCCACGATTCAAAGTTGAAACGTTGAAGTTCAAACTTAAACAATTTAAGGTACAGTTATTTGTTTCTACCATGCAAGGTGGTTTGGATTTCGTTGTCCACGTGGCCATGGTTATGCATTTTAAAGCATTTTTTAAAACGCGTCTCTTCACTTAGAAGTGAAAGACGTTCAGTTAAGGGTCTGTTCCTTTTATATGAGATCGGAATTGGGACTGGTGAGATTTTATGGGAGGACAAGCCAAAAAAATATGGCTTCAAAGGGAGGACCTACCGGGAAACTGTGGCGTGTAAGGGGTATACTTAACATAAAAAAAAGAAAGTTGGAGGAGGTTTAGCGGTAAGGATGGAAAAAAA